CCGGCGAAGCTCTTGATTGTGATGATCGACACTTCGGTATTTTTTAGTACCAACCTTGCTTTCCAAAATACCCAGACACAATAGTCCAACGGATTGGTATCCGGAGATTTTGGGAGCCTTTGTGCGCTGAAAATGAAGCGAGGAACCTCATTTTGTAACCATTCTTGGGTGGCGCATGCTGAGCGCGATGGTGCTGGGTCCTGTTGGAATGTCCAAGGTCTACGGCCAAAATATTTGCGTGACCAAGGCTTTAACCCTTTCAGTGTTTTTGTCAAATATATTTGACATTTAAAAGTACTCTCTTTCTTTGCCATTTTTTGTTTTTCTTACGAACCGTTATTTTTGATATTTTTTAATAACAGACACGTTCGCTATTTAAAAATATTGCAGTTCTATTCTATTAGTTTCGTTTTCGAATTTCTGAGCACATTTTAGTAAATTAGTACGGAATTTAAGATTTTTATCTCGACAAAAATTTTCATTGACACTGAAAGGGTTAATATACCCTCCAGAATATTTTCGCGATAATATTCGGTATTTATTCTGCTGCAACGGTCGATTAATACAAGCGGAGAGCGACCATCGGCTGTTATGACGTCCACACCATCACCATGGCCGGCGCTTGTGTTCTGATGGCCAACCGAAGGTGCACATTTTCAGCCGACCTCTTTGGCAAGTAAACCCGATCATTTTGTTTGTTTACAAACTGCTGGAGAACTATTGTTTTCTCATTGGGGAAAACCAAATTCGGCAGTTCACCACTTTCGGCCAAGCGAAGCAACTCTTTAGCTACTTTGAGTATATTATACCCTACACCACAAGGAGTTCAGGGTATTATGTCTTTGAGCATTTGTTTGTAACAGGCAAAAGGAAACGAAATAGACCCATAGTTCCTTTTGATGATCTGCATAGAATCTCATTCTGAGTGGATTTATGCATGTCCGTCCGTCTGTCAATGTATTTTTGAAACAAAGTACAGTTCGCATTTATTGAACTATGCAGATAAAATTTTGCACAAATCATTTGTTTGGCCCAAGAACGAACCCTATTGAAATTGGAGATAATCGGTCAAAATTTAGATGTAGCTCCCATAAATATCTTAGTCCGATTTGCCTTTTATTGTGCACCAAACGTGTAATATAAGCCTGAATAGTATGGAATTTTGTACATACAACTATATAAGGCCTGAAAATAAGTACGCCAAATTTGATCGAAATCGGTTCAGATGTAGCTATAGCTCCCATATATATTGTTCATCCGATTTGTTATTTTTGTCCTCCGCAGCCGCAGTATGCACTCTGTAGCAACAATATTTTGGGAAAATATATCAAATATAGCTCAGAAATATATTTTCTAATTTTTATCGATATCGGTTCAAATTTGGATATAGCTCCCATATATAACTTCATCCGATTTATTTTTTATTGTGCACCAAACGTCTAATATTTGTCCAAATAGGATGGAATTTGGCACATACGACCGAATTGAGTCTAGAAGCTAGTATGTCAAATTTGGTGAAGATCGGTTCAGATATAGCTATAGCTCCCATATATATTGTTCATCCGATTTGTTGTATTTGTTACCTACAGCCGTATTATGCACTCCGTAACAACGATATTCAGGGAAATATATGACAGCTCAGAAATATATTTGCTAAATTTTATCGAGATCGGTTCAGATTTGGATATAGCTCCCATATATATCTTTATCCGATTTCAAATTAATTGTGCACCAGATGGGCAATACAAGTCCGAATTGTTAAGCGGAGCTCTACTTAATTAGCAAAGTGGTGTAGGGTATCATAAAGTCGGCCCCGCCCGACTTTAGGACTTTCTTTACTGTTATTTTTCTGTTGCGGTGTAAGTTCTGGTACTTTTTGGAATTTCAATGGCTTTACCCAGAGCTAATTTTCCAATATTTGCCGAATGGAATATTGCGATATGTTCAGCTCACAAGCCATTTTTCGTCCACTACGAAGCGGGTTTCGATCAAGTCGCTTCTTTACTTTTCGAACCATTTCTGCTGATGTTGCTGTTTTCTCTCGTCCACTTCCTTGACGTCGGGCTACGCAACTAGTATCACGATAGCGGGCGATGGTACGAGACATAAATATTTATTCACATTTAAATGTTGGAGTGCTCTAACGATAGCCACTTGTGGTTTTCCAGCCAAATATAAAGATATCACGATTGAATTCCATCATGAATAATTTTTTTTTTTTGGAAAATGCTTTTGTACGCTTGTAAACAATATAATGAGCTGTCACTGGAATAATTTTAATGACAGCAGTCTAAAGTTGGTTGCAGTTTTTTCATCTCATCCTGTATCAAATGTGAAATTTGATTTCCCACGTTTATCTTAATATTGAATTTTGAGGCATATTTGCTCTTCAATTTAAGTACTGTGAAAATCGCATCTCTCTCTATGTAAATTTCGTCTCAATTCCGTGTTTGCCAATTGCGTGTATTGGTTTTGGTACGACGAGAAAAAAAATTTGAGTTTTAAATGTCAATTGTTTATCGTCAGGCATTTGGCCTGCTTAGCTTGTTATTCGGTGTTGGTCGCCAGCTGGAGGACTCTCGAATTGTGTGTTATTGTACAATTATGTGTATTTGACAGTGAATACGTATTGGCATTAGAAAAATTCACAGTTGTCTTTTTTTGCCAAAACCTCAGCACTGTCACATTCTACAGTCAGTGTAATAGAGGGTAGAATATTGTGTGGTGGTAAAACATTGGGTAATTTATTTTCCGAATTGAAAACGCAATATATGTATACTTTTAAAGGGCTTTGATGCTGGAAATGAATAATTAATAATAAATAACCTGGAAGGAAAAGTCAAACGCCGGGCGGGGCCGACTATTTAATACCCTACACCAATATGTATATTTAGTAGAGCACCCGTAACAAAAGAATTTACTTGAAGTAGGTCATACAACCTATTAACATTTGCTTTTAGAGCAGATATAATTTGGTTTCCGGGCGAGCCAATATGTGGGAGGCATATCGAATTCTGAATCTGAATCTATTATGCTAAATAACATTGCTATAGAGTGCATGATATCATTTCGAGAAGGATTATATTAAAGAATATAAATCACAGCCGAGTTCCACCAAATGGAAACGTACGTCCCGCAATTCACTCCATTTGGGCTGGTACTAGCCATTATTTGAACAATAAAACTGAAATCGTATAAAAGTTATAAATTGAAGCTATTTCCAAATTTCAGCCGATCTCTATCAAATTCGGCAAATGTATTTCCGAGCTCTATAAGATATGTGGTACCAAATATCATTGTTGTCGAATAGATACTTCGAATGTGAAGGACTTAAAGACCAACTCGGATGAAACATATATATGGGAGCTAAAGCTATATGAGAACCGATTTTCACCATATTTACTGTATTTGCTCCTAGACTGAACTCGGTCGGTTGAACCAAAATTCAGAACTTTTTGACATATATTGGCAATTTAGTGCACAATTAATCTGAAATCGGTTGAAGATATGTATGACTGCTATATCGAAATCTGATTTTCACCAAATTTAACGTACTTACTTCTAGACTAGAATAAAGGATATAAATGAGAGCTATATCCCAATATTAGCCGATATCGATAAAATTTGGCAAATGTATTTCCGAGCTCTATAATATATCTGCTATCAAATATCATTGTTGTCGAATGCATACTACGAATGTGAGGGACTTAAACACCAAATCGTATGAAATATACAGGGTGAGATGAAAAAACTGCAACCAACTTCAGACTGCTTTCATTTCTACGCCACTCGTCCGACAGATGTTAAAATTATTCTGGTGACAGGTAATTAAATTGTTTGCAAGTGTACAAAAGCATTTTGGTGAGAATTTTCCAGAAAAAAAGTTATTCGTGATGGAACTCAAGCGTGATACGGTGATTTCCAAAAGTGGTTATCGTTAGCGCACTACAAAATGAGGTTCCTCGCTTTATTTCTAGCGCACAATGGCCACCAAAATCTCCGGATACCAATCCGTTGGGTTATTGTGTTTGGAGTATTTTGGAAAGCAAGGTTGACACTAACAAATACCAAAGTGTCGATCACCTCCAGCAAGCGTTTCGCCGGGAATGGGCCAAAATACCGCAGAGCAACATTCGGGCAGTGTGTGACTGTTTCATTGGCCGCTTGAAGGCCATAATCCATGCCAAAGGTGACCAATTCGAATAAATCTAAACTTATTCTAAAATTTGATGCTATTTCCGACATTTTTCGCTTTCTATCATAAAATTAAAAAAAAAATAAATAAATATTATGGCGTTTGATTTTGTTGCAGTTTTCTTATCTCACCCTGTAGATGGATAGCTTAACGAGTTGACTTCGAAGATACCAAAGAGAGTATACAGTTGTTCAGTTGAGATAGATGATCGTGAATTTGATATTTTCGACGATTCGAAGACAATCGGACGATTTATAGATAATCGCAAACTATGATATAGGAATACCGGGTTGTTGACGACTGATGCTCGGATTGTAGACGAAGTGAAAGTAATCGAGGATAATTTTCGGCTAAGAAATGATTTGATTGTAATCAAGAACTCTAATGAATGATCGTCGGATATTGAAGTGTTAGAGTTTATAGAACTTACGCTGAGGAGGTTGACGGTATACCGGAATCAGGTTGACGGTATACCGGAATCAGGAATTATGGAAATTGTGTTACATTTGAATTACGGCCGGTATAATGAGCTGAAGCTCCTGTAAAACTACAAGCCGAAATTCTTTGGAACACCAAGCCGAAGCCCCTATGGAACCACGAGCCTCAATTCTGCCACAGAACGAACCGAATTCACGATGGAACAACGAGCTAAATACCACTGTGGAACAACAAATCGAGACCCTTGTGCAAAACAACGTGCAAAACATCCCGTGTAAATGAGTTACCTAACTTTACTTAATGAGCACAAATTATTAAAAATCTCCAACTCCATTTAGGCAAGCCCGCGTCCCCACAAGACTTCATATTGCAGTTAACAATATTTTGTCGATAGAACAATTTTTTATTTCAATTTTTTTTTACACTTTTTACTGTCATGATTTGCAATTATATTTAAAATCCTTCGACAGCAAATTATTCAACATTCTCGCAATGCTCCTTGGCTCCAGCAACAACACATTTTGTTACATCAAAGACCAAAGCTTCATCGGGTTTCACGTCCTTGGCTGCATTTACACATCCTTCAACAAAGTCATCTTTACAATTCAATTTTGATTTTTCCTTCAAAACGTATTGCAGACGGTCGGCCTTAAACCCAGTATCGGCGTGATACAAATGTTTGTTCTCCGACAGGCATAACAAAAATTTACGCAATTCAGGGGTATCCTCGACTTCGTTGGCCCATGTCTTGGTAACAGTTTCAGCACTTACGTTATTCTCCTCGCGACATTTGGCTTCGACGGCAGCTTCATCCTCGGGATACCAGTCAGGACGATCGGCAGAGATCTATACGAGGATTTTTTTTCAATATTTGTGATTTTATTGGCGTTTTTATGCACTTACCATTGCAATTGCACAGATCAAGAAAACGAAACTTAGCTTGTTCATTGTTCGATTCGATTTTCGTTGTTTTTTTTAATGTAAATGTTAACAAGATCTAGGTGAAACTGATACTGATTTGCAATTACCGTTCGATTTTATAGAAAACTCTTATCATGAAAAGTCTATGGCATGACATTACATCTGTTTTTCAATAACCCATTGGTTAATTGAATTGATAAGACATTTGTTTTTAAATAATAACTTTTGGTATCAGTTGCTAGGAAATTATTGCAATTATCTCTGCTCAACTTTGGAACTATTATATATTAGATTATAAAACTGATCTTTGTTAAACAAAATCTGTTGCCTACTGAGAAGTTAATGTCTGTAGAAGGGACCTTCCTATTTGCCTTCACAAAATCAGTTGACTGTGGCTCTTTAAAACACAGGCTCATGAAGAGTTAAAGAAAATTATATTTGACCTCGAAAACCATTTTACCCCTTACCACAAGAAATATCAACATTTTGATCCTTTGTTCGGAAGGCATCAGAAAACAAAGGCAATATAAGATTGATAGAAATAAAGTATATTTTGGATCCATAGAGTTTTTGGTATTTAAAATGGGTTACATACATATTTTGGTATAGCCTTCTCTGTACCTACAGATTTAAGGCATTTTGGTTGTTTTACTCGTGGGTACAGAGGGTATATATCATTTGATACGGTCAAAACGTGTCTAGTCGAAATAACAGTTTTAGACTCTAGGTCTCTTTGGACCAAATCCGTTTCAGAACATTTGGAGTCGATCTAGCGATGTCCGTCCGTCCGTCCGTCTGTCTGGCTGGTGCACACGATAACTCTCGAAGGGAGTATCCGATTTGATCCAAAGTTGGTGCATCGTAATATTATTGTCAAACTTAAATCGAGTTCGGAGATGGGCAATATCGGTCCACTCCTTCTGGCACCTCCCACACAAAATGTCGAAATTTTCAAAAAAAATATTTTTTGCACAGAAAGGGAAACGATAATCGCATTTTGCTTGAACTTTGAAAATCCTAATATTTGCATCAGTGCTAGGTCAAGTGCGAAAATGGACAATATCGGTCCACTCCATCAGGTACCTTCCCCACAAAGGGTAAAATTTTTTAATAATTACAACTCTTATAAAATGTGATGTAAGAGTTCGATTGTCTTCAAATTTCACACATCCCAATAATTTTATTAATCCAAAGTCAGATGTGGAGATGGAATGTATCGGTCCACTCCTTCTGGTACCTCCCCCACAAAAGGTCGAAATTTTCAAAAAAAATATATATTTTTTGCACAGAAAGAGAAAGGATAATCCGATTTTGCTCCAACTTTGCAAATCGCAATTTTTGCGTCAGTGCTGCGGGTATACATCTGTCGGCAAAACCTACCGATACTTTTATTTGTTTTTTGTAATATTCGGTATTCTGACTGTTAATGTCTCGAGGGAATTATAATGTTTTGAGGGAGTTATTGCAAACCTAGTATTATTAGATATTATCAGGGTGAGATAAAAAAAATCTGCAACAAAGTCAAACGACATAATTTTTACATTTTTTTTTAAATTTTATTGAATGAAATCAAAAAATGTCGGAAATACCATCAAGTGTTAGAATAAGTTTAGATTTGTTCGAATCGGTCACCTTTGTCACGAATTATGGCCTTCAAACGGCCAATGAAACCGTCACACGCTGCCCGAATGTTGCTCTGCTGTATTCTGGCCCATTCCCGGTAAGGCGCTTGCTTAAGGTGATCAACACTTTGGTATTTTTTAGTGCCAAACTTGCTTTCCAAAATACTCCAGACACAATAGTCCAACGGATTGGTATCCGGAGATTTAGGTGGCCATTGTGCGCTGGAAATGAAGTGAGCAACTTCAGTTAGTAACCATTCTGGATGGCGCGAAGGCTTTAAAAAATCCTCCACAATATTTTCGCGATGCCACAGTCGATTAATACGAGCGGATAGCGACCATCGGCTGTTATGGCGGCCCACACCATCACCGTGGCCGTGGACTCATCGCTTGGATTCTGGTGGACAACCGAAGGAATTATTGCCAACTTAGTATTATTAGATATTATCAGGGTGCGATAAAAAAAATCTGCAACAAAGTCAAATGCCATAATTTTAACATTTTTTAAATTTTATTGAATGAAAGCAAAAAATGTTTGAAATACCATCAAATGGTAGAATAACCTTAGATTTGTTCGAATTGGTCACCTTTGGCACGAATTTTGGCCTTCAAACGGCCAATTAAACAGTCACAAGCTGCCCGAATGTTGTTCTGCGGTATTTTGGCCCATTCCTGGCGAAGCGCTTGGTTGAGGTGATCAACACTTTGGTATTTTTTAGTGCCAAACTTGCTTTGCAAAATACTCCAGACACAATAGTTCAACGGATTGGTATCTTGATATTTTGGTGGCCATTGTGCGCTGGAAATGAAGTGAGGAACCTCAGTTAGTAACCATTCTTGGATGACGCAAGTTGAGTGCGATGGTGCTGAAGGTCTGCGGCCAAAATGTTTGCGTGCCCAAGGTTTAATACACTCTCCACAAATATTTTCGCGATAATATTCAGCATTTATTCTGATGCCACTGTCGATTAATGGCGGCCCACACCATCACCGTGGCCGTGGACTCATCGCTTGAGTTTTGGTTTCCACCCGAAGGTGCACAAGTAAACACGATCATTTTGTTTGTTTAGAAACTGCTGGACAACGAATGTTTTCTCATCGGAGAAAACCAAATTCGGCAGTTCACCACTTTCGGCCACTCTTTGGCTCCTTTGAGTCTATTTTCTTTCTGTTGCGGTGTAGGTTCTTGCACTTTTTGGAATTTCAACCGCTTTGCCCAGAGCTCGTTTTTCAATATTTGCCGAATGGAATATTGCGATATGTTCAGCTCACGGGCCATTTTGCTGCCACTGCGACGCGGTTTTCGATCAAGTCGCTTTCTTACTTTTCGAACCATTTCTGCTGATGTTGCTGTTTTCTTCTATCCAAATTCTTGACGTCGGGCAACACTACCTGTATCACGGTAACGAGCGATGGTGCGAGACACAAAAGATTTATTCACATTTAAATGGTGGAGGCTCTAACTATAGCCCCCGGTGGTTTTCCACCCAAATATAAACAAATCACGCTATCACGCTTTAATTCCATTGCGAATAACTTTTTTCTGGAAAATTCTCACCAAAATGCTTTTGTACGCTTCTAAACAATACAATGGGCTGTCACTGGAATAATTTTAACAGCTGTCTGGCAAGTGGCTTAGAAATGACAGCAGTCTGAGGTTGGTCGCAGTTTTTTTCAGTTTACATGCCAAAGCGGTCAGCTGAAAATGTGCACCCTCGGTTGGCCATCAGAAATCAAGCGCCGGTCATGGTGGTGGTGTGGGCCGCCATAACAGCCAATGGTCGTTCTCCGCTCGTATTAGTCGACCTTTGTATCAGAATAAATGCCGAATATTATCGTGAAAATATTCGGGAGGGTGTGTTAAAGTCGGCCGCATACCTTGGACTTTCCAACAGGACTCAGCACCATCGCACTCAGCACGCGACACCCAAGAATGGTTACAAAAAGAGGTTCCTGGCTTCATTTCCAGCGCACAATGGCCACCAAAATCTCCGGATACCAATCCGTTGGACTATTGTGTCTGGAGTATTTTGAAAAGCCAGGTTGGCACTAAAAAATACCAAAGTGTCGATCATCTCAAGCAAGCGCTTCGCCTGGAATGGGCCAAGATACCACAGAGCAACATTCGGGCAGCGTGTGACGGTTTCATTGACCGTTTGAAGGCCACAATTCGTGTCAAAGGCGACCAATTCGATTTGATTTTTTTTGTTGTCTTATCTCATCGTGTAGATAGATAGGTTAACGAGTTGGCTTCGAAGATACCAAAGAGAGTATACAGTTGTTCAGTTGAGATAGATGATCGCGAATTTAATATTTCCGACGATTTGAAGACAATCTGTCGATTTATAGATAGCCGAAAGATGTAAATGTATATAAGTGCGGTTGTAAGATTTAGAAGATTTTCCAAAAGAATTTTAGTTTTATTTAATTCTTTGGTTCCTCTTCTATTGAGCTTACGATCTCGTCACTTGGGTAAAAAAAGGTTTTTGTCATAGAAGTTATTTTTAAAAAAGCTTCTGGGGAGAATATCCCAGACAAAAACAAGGGAAATGATGAGGATTGGTCGTTCCTTCCGATACCTAGGTATTCCCTGCCTTACCCCCTGGTAAACATTGCCATCGTCCTCCACTAATAAACAAACGTTGTTTTTATAAAAACAACAATAAAGGGATTAAGCCTGACCATTTTGCAACAACTAAGCATTATGGTATCCCGAACAAAAAGCCAACACTGTTCTGATAACCGCAAACTATGATATAGGAATATCGGGTTGTTGACGACTGATGTTCGGATTGTAGGCGAAGTGAAAGTAATCGAGGATAATTTTCGACTATAAAATGATTTGAATATAATCAAAAACTCTATTGAATGATCGTCGGATTTTGAAGTGTAGGAGGTTATAGAACTTATGCTGCTGTGTTTCAAGAGGTTTACGGTATACAGGAATCAGGAATTATGAATATTGGGTTGCATTTGAATTATGACTGGAACAACAAGCTGAAGCTTCTGTAAAACAACAAGCCGAAATTCTTTGGAACAACAAGCCGAAGCCCCTATGGAACAACGAGCCTCAATTCTGCCATAGAACGAACTGAATTCCCCGTGGAACAACGAGATAAATACCACTGTCGAACAACAAACCGAGATCCTTGTAAAACCATGTGCAAAACATCCCGAGTAAATGAATTACCTCACTTTACTTAATGAGCACAAATTATTAAAAATCTCCAATTCCATTTAGGCAAGCCCGCGTCCCCCACCAGCCTTTATATTGCAGTAAACAAAATTTTGTCGATAGAACAATTTTTTATTTCAATTTTTTTTTACACTTTTTACTGTCATGAATTGCAATTATATTTAAAATCCTTCTGCAGGATTTTATTCAACCTTCTCGCAATGCTCCTTGGCTCCAGCAACAACACATTTTGTTACATCAAAGACCAAAGCTTCATCGGGTTTCACGTCCTTGGCTGCATTTACACATCCTTCAACAAAGTCATCTTTACAATTCAATTTTGAT